CGAATTCCAATCCACACCGATTTATGACACGACTACAACAAGTACAAGCAACAATTCCAATTTTTCCACGGCTTCTATATCCTCTCTAACTCATGAAACTCCAGTGAGTGTTGAAGGCCTATCGGGGTCCAGTCAAAAGGACCTATCAAGTTTCGGTATACAGAGAAAAGGAGACTATAATTCAAGTCTTCATCAAAATCATTATATGAATAGAAGAAATTTATTAACGAGACAGGAATCAAGTGGTAAGTTCCTCGGAAGACAATTTGTTCTGATCAAATTAGTGTCTAAGTTTCTGTGTTTTAGTAGGCCTTTCTGACACACACACACACTAGACAATGTACTTCTCACTGAAGAGCCTGATAGTTGAATTTGCAAATCAGTTCTGGAAACAGTTTTTGTGTAGGACAACTTGTTGATTCAACTGACTGCTTGATCAGTCAGTCACCTAGATGTCCGAGAAGGTATCTTGAAATAAGTTTCGGTGCTTCTAAATTCTTTACTATATCAACACCGAAGGAATAAAATAAGCAGTACTATGATGAAAAAGAAATTAAATAATATGATACTGTGTGAGGATCTTAGATAATTTAATTCAGCTTATGAGCGTCAAATGACATTCATGTGCTCTCAGGTAAATTGTTGATCAGTTTCTGCATGACAAGCACAGGGAAGACGACGAGAAACAGTGTTCATCATGTAGTAAAACCATAAGTGACTATTGCATGATGAATCGCTCGCAGCCACATAAGTCAACTGATTTCACAACACTTTTGTTAGAAATTCATATCAGCTAAGCGACCACATAAATCTGTCATGCTCTGTAGAGCTTTCTAGTTCAAAGTTTGAAATGCTCACTAACTTATAGCTATGAACGGTAACCATTGTATATATGATTCTACCGCAGTTAACGAGTGGTGAAATACTAGGTAAAAGACTTCACTCACGGGGGCTGGATTTCCAAATAACATTCTAGTCTCTAACATGAAGAGTAACACTGTCCAGTCCTACCGGATTTCCAATATTTATTGAGTCGGCACTGTTTTATAACACAAACTCCACGTATTTTGGCCTTTAGGGATGACGATTAACACGGATAAATGGAAAATAAGCTTGGTTTTAGTAGGCTACATTTCTTACCAATTATGATTTTTACACGAGATGCACTTTGTTTATTCTGTGGAGAGACAACTGTTTCAATGTACTACAACTTTGTCTATGCTTCTGGTCCATGTTGAAATTAACGAGATATTCTGTAATCTAGTAACACTGTGACTGCACATATTTAAATCGATTGAGGTATACTACTTTGCAAATTTTAAGTAGGCCAACAGTTTTACACAATTATGAATGTGCACTGAACGATAGTGGGAAAGATGCTTTATCATTTGTGTTTTAAGCTATCAGAAGTGAATGCACGGTTTTAACACTAACATATCTATCCTAATGTCTACCTTGCATTCTTTGTATTAGCTGTTACGCAGGTTGTGGACGCAGCGGAAGTTAGCAACACCAGTATCAGTCTGGTAAGTGTAAAGTTTTGAGATGATTATTTGCTTAGGAATGTTTCAGATTAACCTGTAATCTTTTTAAAATGGAAAGCTGCATTTCCTCAATAGGTCGACTTAAGATTTTGGACTTTCGAAATGATGAAGTTTGGTTTTGGAAACTCTCTCATCTTCAATTTATTATTATACCAATGAGTTTTAAATGACTAAGGTGCTTAATATTACTCATTCGTAAGAAAAGAAGTAAACAGCGAAGAGAATTCTCTCTACGACGATTCATGTACAATCGTATTTATATCTAACTAAGAAATCATTAGACCGTCTGGATACTGGTAAACTTTGTTCTCGAAACATTCATTACGTAATGCAAGTTACAGCCTAGAAGGGATGACTAATTTGACTTTAGAAAAGAGGCAGAAGTTGGCATGACGTTATAAGTGTGAAATAATGTCGGTTGTTGGAATAAGCATACATATGCAGATAGGGTGGAAAAATTTGAGGCAGACCGGTCCAAAGGTCATGTGGACTATGAAGTATAAGAAGAAGTAAGTTCAATTTGTCAAACATGTGTCAATATCTCGCCTATGAGAAAATTTGCATTTAACAGCACTGAATCGCAAGTCTCATCATTTCTACATTCATTCATCATGCATCACGAGAATTTACTTGTAGATAAAGGGAAATTCATAAGAACTTCGAGTGAAATGCATTAAAATCCTCTTCTTTTCGTTCAACCCAATATAATTCTTGTTAGTCTGGTTAGTGAAATAAAAGTATGATAAAGGTTTTTACAGTATTGTTCTTGTCGTATACAATAACAATCTACGATATTTACGACGTAAGTGTCTAGATGAAGGCAGTGACATTTACTTTACTTATCCACTCCATATGCACAGCAATAAATGCAAACGAAAGTGAATTTTTCTCCTGAACAATATGACTGATTTCTGTACTCCCTCTCCTCTTTCACGTTTTCATCATCATAATAATTATACACATTGTTCACAACTTAATTAGTTGGTATAGCATGCATACATCAACATTCTTATTCTGTCTTCAAAACGCTCAATTATTCAATAAGTAAGTATGTAAATAAGTAGGTAAGGAGCTACAAAATATTCTGAGGACTAGTTGATAAAAATGTCAACTCTACCTACAAAAGATAAGCGTATTATTGTTTGTCTTCGAGGTAGGTTATATGATTGACATTAATATAAAAGATATGTAAAACTGTCTTAGACTTGATTAAAACAAAATGGAATAGTAAGGCGGTTTCACTGTTTGCACCATAGAATGAAGGAGCCAGTTTCTGAATATCTTACCTACCTGAATTTCACTAAGGCATTCAAAAGTTATTATGAGTAAAACATGTGTGGTTGAATTATGGAGGACAGCCTACCACGTGAATTCAGTAAACATATAGATCTGCGTATAAATTCATCAACCATATCTACTTACTAACTAAGCATTCTAGTTTTGTGGAACAGATGACTTCAGATACATGATTTTCCCTTAATCCTATGTCCTATTCTGACTCTTAAATTCAGGCCAACTATTCCGACAAATCCCGAATATGACAAAGTGTTTGTTGAAATCATACTCGATTATGATAAGTGAGAAATCCACGCAAAGTGAGCAAAACACAGTTGTATGATAACACTCTAGTTACTTGGAAATACTAGCTGGAGATCCCTGACGATAATAATAATTCTGATTGTAGAAAAACATAGGAACTGCTAACTGGTGGGATGAATACCAGGATACTGCTTCAGACTGAGCTTATAGCAGCTGATGAAATACCATGACAATAAGTCACAAAGTACACAGGATACAGCTCTGATACTTCTTACAGGATTGACTGATTAAGAGGAAATGCCATGAGAGATACCTAGTGAAGGAGTGAGTCCTGAATAAAATAAATCTCTGATTACCTTTCCAACTGACTTATTTCTGTCATATTCACAAATCGATTTTGTACAAAGGGGGCAAGTATTTGAGCGCTACATGAAAACACTAATGAATAAGTTCAACACATGCAATAGAAACCATAACTCTGCAGTAAAACCTGAAGAAAATAACAAGATTCTCTGCTGAATCGAACTCACAGGACTATAACAGTCACCATAACAAGAAAGTTAGCCAAATGATATGTACACTTTGTGCATTTTGTTTCTTGTTCACTGTTTCACTGATCACGACATCTACAATTTTCTCTCTTTCTGTTTACAGACTGAAGATCTTTATCAGAAGACCGAGAGTCTTTATGAACAAATCTCCACAATGTCAGCTGAGATATCAATTAGAGTGAGTTTAAACCAGCACTTTTGATCTTTTATTTTAAAACAGTACACTGATGTGATGACTGAAGATGAAAAGCCTAAGTGACAAAAGGATACAAACTTATCATGTTTGACTTATTAACTTGACACTTTACTGACTACTAGAATACAACCGACTTCATCTACAACTCAGAATCACTTCAACCACCAGTTGTCATACCTAATTTTGCGGGTATTTGTTGTTCTCTACAAAAGAAACAAAACAAAACATTTGAGGGTTCAGTTCAACGACTGTTGCAGTAATTGCTTGCAGTTTGCAGTCTATCTTTTCCCCTCAACCACTAAATCTTTCTGCCTACCAAGAATGAGGTTTAGTTTATATAGAAAATGTTCCTGAAAACTCATTGTAGTTGCCTTGCCTTCATGTGTACAAAGCAATAGGGCGTTCAGAACACGTCTGACATATGATGATGAACTTATTAGCAATAGATTCATGTTTACGAATCGGCTTAATGATTTGACTAGGTAATGGATCGACTGTCTGGATGGCTACTTGGCTGGCATATAGTCCTAGAAATATACATCATATATAAAATGGTTTAATGTTACGCCTGATTATGCACTTTAAAAAGAGAAATGGAGAGGAAAAACCTAGATCTGTGAAAAAAGATAGTCTGACCAATGGAACAGACTGTTTACTGATTGGATAAGTCATGGTTGCAAAGGGAATTTGTTAAGGAAATAATGTGAATGGCCACACCGAGTCACATAAACACACACATATAAATACACTTCTGTCTTTGCACACATTTTCTGTCTCACTTGAAAGAACAGTAATCAAGGGAGTGTCACATTAATTAATTAGTTATCTCTGAAGTGGAATTTATTACATAATTATCCGTATCCCATTGAGACATTTTGAGCTGTTCAAGTAAAAATAATCTGTACAATGGAAAGATTTTATCCAAATTTCTATTCTTATACGAAATCTCACTACGAACCATTGCTTTCAAGTCTACTAACAAGATCTGAACCAGAGCGTAGTGCTAAACTGCACATTGACTGTAAGGATAATGATGCCAGTGAGGAGAAACAATATAGCTCGTGTAGTGGAAGACAAAATACGAACATGAATGAAGTCACTGAGCAACAGAATTCTTCGGCATCACCCGAAATGCTTCGGTAACGAATACAAAGTGTGGATAGAACAAAAATGTCACGTAATCAACTAGCGAAATGGACGACAACAGATTCGCAAAGATGGGTTCGCGAAAATTCAGACCCTCCAGGCCGTGAAACGTCTACTGAAGAAGAAGATCTAACTGGTTCAGTCTTCACCGGATCTGTACAGTCATTTATATTGCCATTTACTAGAATTAATGAATACTTAACACCGGGAATTAAAGCTAAATATCACAACCACTCTAGAACTTTCGAAAGTGGAATCAACTATCTGAGCTTAGTTTCCCGTAATGATGTTCGATGTAACATCATTCCAAACTGTCAGCATTTTCCTGATCTGATGTCAACATCTTTAACAAAGACAAATTCACCAATAAAGCATAAGTCAAGATCACTGCGTAAGCATTCACGTGAAAAAACACTACCATGTTCAAATCAAGACGATAAAACACTCATGACGTTAGATTCTAATAATGTGTTCATCAATCTAAATGAGTCCAAATTACAGATTGCGACAAATCAGAAGAGCGTACCCCGTTCTAGAAGATTACCGTCACCATGTGTTCGTATGAAAACACTAGAAACGGATACAAATTATAATGTATCTCTCGAAACAGGTCAGAACACAAGCTCCTCAAACTATGATCTTCGACCGAAGCGATTAATAGAAACAGAACGCATGGTTAGACAAGAATTAGCGTCTGCAAAACAGAAATCAGCAACTTTCAATAGTAACAATGGCATAGACAGAGAAGATCGGAAATCAGCGATGCAGAATTCACCAATACCTCTAAAAAAGTCGAGTTCTAGTGAGAGAAGACAAATAATTTCTCCAGATACAAATACACCTGTGAATGTTTTAGAAGAAATAAATTCATTTGAAATGAGTGATAGTGAGACCGACTTATCTAGAGGATTGGAAAGAACTCGAGTCCTAAGGAATGGTGATGATTTAATCAGAACTGATGGAAATTCGAAGGTAGTTCAATTGAGTTTCAAGCGTGCGTGCAGTTAATTTGTTCCGCTATCTGTCTTTTGCCTTGTCATAATGTACTCGAATTTTACCAATTTGGTTACAGCGGAAATTAGCAGAGGTGGATTAAAGGTATGTCTAGAAATGTATTAGTGTAAACAGTTTTATAACGTGTAAGCACTGACAGCACACAATGCTCTTCATTGATAAGTTAGTTAAATATATATGTGAACTTGTGATGGTAGAATAAATCATGTATATTAGTCAGTGGAGAAACTATTGGAATTTTAAGCACCATTTAACTGGACTTCAAGTGGTACGTGAAATGCACGCGTCACTATTTCATGTAGTTAGTAGTACTATGGAAAATTTTATGAACAATTCACGGACACCTGCATGACAAAATTTGCTGCAATAATTTGTTGATTTATAAAGTCTCTGCTTACGCCAAAAGAAATTAATTCTCTGTCCTAGAATCTGCTTCTTATACCCGTTTTCTCCAATATTCAGACACTCAGTTTATCAACAAAATTATCAGTTAGATTGGTGAAATCTTACCAGCTCTGCGTATCGAAATACAGTGCTGGTTGCACTACTACGAAAACCTAGTACTGAATGGTCACTAAGTGCTCGATATTAAGTTTTCTCTTCTATACAGAACACTATGGTTCGAGATTTAAGAGATACCGTGGTAAATAAGGCGGATCGAATTGGGCAACTTAAAACGTCGGAAATTATGAAAGTTATTTTCATGAAAATATGTTTTTTAAAATGTTATTTGAGGGCTAAAGGACGTCAGGACGGGAATGAGAGGTGTCGTAAATACTGTAACAAAACCACTGTTAATACCCTCTATTTTTAGATCAAAAAACTTATTGCACTCTGAGATTGAAACAAATAGAAACCAGGTGTTAAAAATGATACCTTAATGAAACCGAATTCTGGGCATTTGGAAGTTTTGAATATTTCTAAATTTCTTTTCTCCAATAAGATTAGGTTAGAATTCAAACTATTATGTAAAATTCAAATTAAGCCTGATAACCACAATGAACTCCTTTTTTGTGACCCTGATATATATTTGTAGGAGTGTCTTTTTGAGTTACTGCATCTTTCTTCCTGATATCAGGAATAATACATACCTGAACTCTCTGTGGAAAGTTTTACATAACAGTAGTGTAGTTTGAAAGTAATAGCCTTTGCCTTGTTTGGTAGACTGCCAAGTGATGCTGTAGAACTGGCCTGTACTGACTACTGGTTTGAGGGCAGTGAGTTAAATGATATAATGCTTTGATGAATTCACTAAACTTGGAAGTTATACTAGCCCGAATGCACTCATTGCTAAGGAAACGTTAAAATGAATATAAAGAGCTATTTATCATTTTCCAACTTAAGTTATTTTTTTGGTTTAGGATGGATTTCTGGCCACCATTCAAAAGGTGTATTTACCATGAAGTAGTCCATTGAGTCCAACTTTACGAGACTGTTGAAAAGAGAATTTCAAAAAGTGTTGGCAGCTTCTTATCACAGGTGTTTTGTTCATTTGTCTAGGTTAGATATAAAAACAAGATAAGAAGTGATCAGGTTAGTTGTAGAGCTTTTGGTGGGAATGGGGAGTCAGCTGATGATGTTTTAAGACTAGGAGATGGCGAGAAGTTGTGTTACAAATATCGAGCCATGATCTATGAAAAATTACGTTAGCTGAAATAAGATCAGGCTATTGACTAGTCTGAATTGATCAGAACAAAACGCGTCACTAGTCCATGAAGACTTTAACTTTTGGTTTGACCCGGGTGAAGGATTGTAGATAACCGGCTAGGGTTCGTGTAGTGCTAAGAATCATCGGTAGGAAGCTTTCTGTGAAAAGATCCTAAAATTGTTAATGATTCTACTTATGCACTGGCTTTGTTAACTTCGACATCATAAAAGTCGACAACAAGTATTGATTCAACTATTCTCTACCATACGTTTCTGTCCACTATAGTTTTACTATCCCTCTTTTTTCTTGAATCTTATGCGAGCAAAGTTTTGTGTTGTTCAATTAGTCATTCTGCTCTTTTTTCATTTATTAATTAACTCACCCAGTCACTCATTAGATTGCCAAGCATCAAATGCGCCTACTGAAATAAACACTGGATAAGTTGTTTAATTGATCGACCGTTAGATAAATAAATGAATAATACAAAAGAAATTAGGTAAATTGAAAATAAATCAGTGATACACTAAACTTTCCAGTACTCATATTCAGGTGACGTTTTCTCCGAGTCAAGAACAGAATCTTAAGGTGTTCTATTCTTAATGTCGTTATGGGAAATGTTTACCTTCCTTCAGTGTACCAGTCACAGTTGGTTTCATTACCGAATTAATTAAACTGAAAATTGGATGGAGGAGTTCATTATGAGCTGATATCAGTTAGAGAACCACTGTAATACCTGGGAGTACTGGACATCTGTTTCGTTCTAGTTTGGGACTCTTGATCAGTACGCACCCACCGAAAAATCTCAGTATGGATCTCTGTTGTCTCTTACTATCAAGTTGTACCTGTAAAGCTTACACTCATCATAAGACCATGTATGACTTCTGGTATTGCGTTCAGATGCCTTATCATATCAGATTCGTAAAATAAGTTCTAATTACATCCGACACCGTTCTCAGGAGTTTCAAAAAGGGTAGATAACAATAAAGTTTGAACTGAATACTGTATATACATATATATAAATACATATATGTATATATATATATATATATATATAGTGAGAAGTCACGATGGTATCGAATGGCATGTGACAATACACTATAATTGAGGACGACAACGTCTAAAAGTTACCTCTTTGAAAGTTCAGTAGTATTGTGGTGAGAGCTGTCTACTAGCCAAGTGGTGGACAGTAATTGAGGTCAATGTTTATGTATCAAATATGAGTCATGTTGTGGTGAGAGATGGTTGCTGGCCAAATTGGTTGACAGTAATTGAGGTCAAAGGTCAAGGTGGACAGGCGGTTACAGTTAACATATAGATGAACTGACACAGCCACAAGGTTAACTTTGTGTGAGAAACAACCAATCAACAGACTGTATTTTCTACTAACATTGACCTACAATAATGTACATAAAAATCTATAAATACGTGTTGATTTTTCGTAATAAACGATCTGTTGCCTGGCCCTTGTCTTCTGTTGTTACAGTATGAAACTAATAGGCAATGCATTTCTTTTATTAATTCGTATTATTATCATTATTTTATTCCTTCTCGTTCCCAGTGGAAAATAGGGCTTCAAGCTAGAGGCTTGAAGTTTCGGTGGAAGTGTTTATTTTTACAGGATGGAGATGCTAGCCTCATGCACAACCTTTCCTGTTTATCAGGTTTATTACTGGCTTAGCAAGGTAAAGGAGTGTGTCGGCCGGGGATCGAACCCTGCAGCATGTCCATGGTCGGCAAGCGTCCTAACCGCTGTGTCACCAACACACAAGGAAATGCAATATTCCATAGTTACATTAAATTCTGCCCTTAAATTTCTGACAGCTGCACATGTCCATAAGATGACAAATATATCAGAAATCTGGGTTTCGAAAACACAGTATTGAACCGTTGGAATTCAAATACTTCGACATTGACGTTATAAGACGTCTAAGCTGAAGCATAGATGACGTATCGAAGGAAGTGCGCCCAACTGAAACTTCAGGATTAGTTCTATTGCACTACGTTTTGGCAGTATCTCGACAGTTATTATTTTAACAGAATATCTATCTTTATGACGAATATTCAAAACCTGTCTAGTTACCGTGTTTGTTGAATGCTCAGAATAATCCTTATTCTTATATTTACATAAGATCGGACCAGATTGCCGAACGAAACGTTGGAATTACTCATTTCAATCTCGCTGAGACTTTACAAATATAATTTTCTACAAATGTCTACTTCTCACTCGGCGCCCAAATATTTTAGAACTATTCTGTCAAATCTTGACGACAGTTCATTTGAATTTACATTAACCGTTCATTTGATTTGGTATTTGACGTTTATAACTGTCTGCCTATTTGATTATGATTTCTTTCAGATACAAGAGCTTCGAAGCTTTATAAATCAAATACTTGAGGAAGATAGGGACAACAAGTCTTTAGCCAACTCTCCGAACAGTTTTAAACCAAGTCCAAGAAGATCAATGTCTTGTCGTACACTTCCTGATGCTATGTACCAAGGTGAGTTTGGATTCTGGGACCAACTTATTGTTCTTTATATTAATGGTATAAGGAACTTGATAAATATGTACAAAGAACATTTTAGAGACTTTTCAGACTCTTCACCTTCCGAAAAATGTCACAATGGGATTCATAAAGCTTCATTATAAATTTTAAGCTAATTATATTCCATTATTATTTAATTCGAAGCTATTAGACTTGGAAATGTAGTTCCGTTAAATGTATAAACATTTCAGAAGTGCACTCACTATTCAGGATGATTACGAGATTGAATTCACAGCCTACAGGCTGATAAATAACATGTCAGAGTATGTGACCATTGAGTTACGTGTATCAAAGCAACAATGGAATGTAGAAGTGAACTGTAAAACACCAAAAGAGCATAAAATAAGACGAACCTCATGTCCAGGTCAAATCAGAAGCATAAAGGAGAAGTAATCGTAGTTAATTTCCTTCGGTGAAGCTTCACTTTTTACATCCCCCAATCCATCCATCCATCTCACTTCATTTTATGCATTCAGTGCATTTGACAGGAACGTTTTCAAGCGGTTGAACTAGTCTCTGTTTACTTCAAACTCCTACAGAATAGTCAGAGAGGATTTTGGTTTAGATTCTTCGAATATTTATCGTTGCTGTGATAAGCGTATACGTCGCTGTTCTTAGAAAGTAGATGTTCAACCACAGTTAATGTGCGTCTGTTGCTAAAAGCACCACAGTTCATCATGGAGACTTACACATGAAAGAGGAAAACACAGTACTTAGTTATTAAAACCTTGTATTCAACATCTTCTCTGAGTAGATCTTTCTGGAAAAGTAACCGACGTGAGTCACATGTTCTCACTATGGACCAACATGAACTGGATATATCTGCCTGATGTTTATTAATTACACAACCGATTTCCACCTATCATGAAGAAGCATTCCGAAATATTTTGAACCATGTGCAATAAAGAAGGCTTCAGTACTCACGAGAACACCATGGAATTAAGGGATTTAACGAGAGAGCCATGATGCATTTACAGTGCCAAACAGACTTTCACTTTGTCCATCACATTGCATTCAAATACAGATTACTGTCTAAGCATTGGAGAAATAAAAAGCTAATCACTCTTATATCAATGAGTAACAGGCAATCAGTTAATGTTTAAGTGTTGGTTTGTAGGGATTAGATTGGTTGCACGATTTTCATCATGAGCTGACATTAGTTAAAGAAACATTGGAAATCCTGGGAGTACTGGACAGCTGTTTCGTCCTAGTTTGGGGCTCTTCACAGTACGCACCCACTGGGATTCGAAGCCAGGACCTTCTGGTTACAAGGCGAGCTCGTATACCATTAAGCCTCTGGGACCCGATCCAATGGCCCATGAATTCTAACTTCTGCCAATTCACGACATAGCGCGTCCCGTAGCCAATGTCTTCGGCGAGTACTTGTCCTCACACCCGACCTGCTGCACCCTACTGGTCACGATTTCTCAGTAGAACCCCAGGTAACTACCTACCTGAATAGGGCAAGTCGCCAGTGAGCATCTCATTGATATTCAAGTAATCTGAAGGTAGCGTGAAGTGGAGATCATTTGACCAGGGGATAACTACTTATGAACACTCCTTTGAAGCCACCTAGAGAAGACTTCAGAAAAATGAGTGGAATGCCAATGCGCTTTTGTAGTCCACTTTTGTTCCACTCGGAACCCAATAGTAATAGTAATAATAATAATAATATAATGATCCTTTCCTTTATACTTCACATATAAATTCTCTTTGAAGTAGGCACAATCAGTCCCATTGCGTGATTCTCCAATTGAAGGTTTGTCACCAATTTCTGTCCTGTTTCAAATAATCTAATTTTTATTAATAAATATATATATATCCAAGGTATTTGTAAACATTTCTGTATTGTATTCAATTTTCATGCGTGTTGTAGGCGCTATTTTCCCTCAACCAATGGCTGCTGCAGCAGCAGTTGCAGCTAGTGGTGCAGCAGTTGTTGGTAATTCAGCTCCATCACCAGTTGCTGCAATGCTTGGAAATATAATTGGTTGTAATGAAAAAGATATTGTGCATGCTGTTCAATCGTCGTCGACGTTATCATCGGCGTCGGCGTCGTCATCATCATCATCAGCAGCAGCAGCAGCATCATCATCTTCGTATGCCGGACCATCGTTATTATCCAACTCATCTAGACATAATAACTGTTCTGTTAGCAATAAATGTGACTGTGATGCTACTACAGTTATCAACCGTTGCCCGCAGCAGCGGCAGCAGCAACAGCAACAACAACAACAAATTTCTACAGTTGGTGAGAAAAGTTCAAACGATGATCATGAAAACGAACATGGCGGTAGTGGTGGTGGTGGTGTAGGCGTTAGTAATAATAGTAATAATAATAATAATTCTATGGATCAAAATAATGTTCAATCGAATACTATCAACACTTCTTCATCGTCATCAGATCGTTGTAAGTGTACAAATACCTTATTGGATAATAATCCACATTCTCTTCAAGATGCAATTACCTCAGATTCAAGCAATTGGTCCAGGTAATGTTTCTCTTGGTTATGATGAAAATGTTAATGCATTTTATTTTATTTGAGTTATGGATGTGGTTTTTGTTGTTGTTGAAATTTCATGCCTTGAATTCTGATTGCAACACAGGAGACTCAAAATTTGAGGTTTGAAGATTTAATAGCAGTGTTGTTGCTAACTCCACGCCTGTAACGACAGAAGACAGGAAGTCAGGCAACAGATCGTTTATTGAGAAAATCAACAGATATTTATAGATTTATATGTACATCATTGTCAGCGGAAAGGCAACTTCTTCTGATTGGTTGTTTTCTCGCTGAAGGCTATTCTGTCATTGCTCTATGGTCGTTTCTTAGAAAGTAAGGCCATATATCTGCGAATCGTATTTGCACACGTTAAGTCTGCTGTGATTGGTTTTTAAGTTCCTCAAGGTTATTGTTTTTCTCATGACCCCGATTCCGGACGTAACCCTGACGCAAATTGTTGTTAACAATTTTGGCTTGTTCACAGCCAGATCTCACACACGCCCAAACCTTCCTTTTCTGAGCTTGCTACTGGGTAGTTGAGATGTAGGAGTGCGCTGGTTGGGGGATCGAACCCCAGATTGCGTGTGTGGTTGGTGTGAAGCGACTTCGATCGAGATGCCTAGGAGACACGTGTTAAGTATGCGTCTAATTATTGCCTTCTTCGACTGGCCATTTTAGTTGATATAGAATCAGGTTGGAATATAGCTAGTGGTTTTCGAACGAAAACATGACTTCATCAGTCAATGGAATCCATAACAGGTTAAATTGAGCGGTGTAGGAAGATGTAGACTTCCTGACTGACTGGTTGTGGTGCCCAGGATGCTAAAAACCAATGAAGGCTGGAGGCTATTGGTGATATGTCTATTTTTGTCTTTTTATGTTACTGTTCTTTCTCTCTCTCTCTCTCTCTCAAATTTCTGCTAATTTTCACTTTCAAAAAATCTCTTTTGTCCTCTTTTGTGTGCTTCATGGAGTGTGGCAACTTGATGTACTGCAGCACTTCTGTGCAGATTTCTATGTTGAAATCAGTCAGTCAGTCAGTCAGTCAGTCAGCGTGATTGGTTGGGCATTCTATCGCTGAATTGGGTATTATAAGTCACAAGGAATGGATGCATCTGCGCCATTGAGAAAGATTTTCAGCCATGTCACCAGTTATCTCCAGCCATTGGTTTTTACCATCCTGATGACCCCAATCAGTCAGGAACTCTACACCTCCCTACGTGGCTGCCGGCTTAAACTAACTATTGCAGATTTCATTGACTGATGAAGCCGTGTTTTGGTTTGACCAACACTAGCTGTCTCTTTTCCAACCTGATCCATCCTATGTCAGCTAACATTACCCATCAGTTGAGCAAGGCGATGGCTAGGCATGCGTAACACATGTCCCAACCATCTCAATCGATGTAACTTCATAGCCTCATCTATTGATTTCCCCTTCTTGAGTAACACTCGATGCCTAACCTCAATATTGTTCATCTTATTGTACCACTTAACACACACGGGAGATAAAACGCAGAAACCTATGATCGAAGACAGCTAGCTGGCATTTTCATGTCTTTCACTTCCAATGGCTATGCTCCACAACCAGCCACAAAGGAGGAAAGGGCGGGTTGCTCAGCAGTACATACGCCCTTTGGTTGACAGCAAGCCGGATATCACGTCTACGCCAGAGACAGCGTAAACTGGCATATGCAGAGATTTCATCAGGGATCAAACCACTGGCGTTAGCTGATGCAACTTCCAAAATAAATGAAGTCGTCAAGATGCTCTACCACTTCACTCCCTATTTCTAAGCTAGGAGTCAGTGTAGTCCAGTACTGCAGCAGCATCTTACATTTGGCGGTAGCGAATCGCATGTTAAACATTCGCAGATTGTTAGCCTCAAGGTGTTCAGAAGACTGCATTTTGTCAGCGTCTTCACATAGGAGAGAGGACTATACCACCTGCATATTCTAAGTCAACGAGATTATTCCCTGGTAACAAGTCAATCCCTGAGTTGTTGAAGTCTCCACAGTTAGGGTTAATTCCATTAGTACATGTATAATGAAATCGAATAGAAATGGGGTTAGTGAGTTGGCATCTCTGATGGACACCGCTGGTTGTCATCACTTCTGATGACAACTCACCGTAAGCTCTCACCTGGTTGACTGCATGACTTCGAGTAGAGTGCCTTGATCAGTGCAATGTATTTTCTCGGCATTCCTTTTACAGCCAAACGTCGCCATAGTACCTCTCGGTTGACAGAATCAAACACCGCCTTTAGGTCAAGAAATATGACGATTGTTGGACGCCGATAAGAATGCCTATATTCCAGAATCTGTCGAAGAGTGAAGATATGATCAATACACCCCCTGCCTGGTTCTCTCGTGTTTGCTTCTCCCGAGCACCACTTAGTCTACGCATTATTATTTGAGCCTGGAACTTTAGATACCATATTAATCAAGTTAACCTTTTCTAACCCCCTCTCTCCACAGTGTTGAGACAGCATAGCTGGTATGCTGGTCATCTGAGGGGAACACCTCACTGCTGTTACATTCCTGTTCTTCAGCATTACGACTTCGCTCACAGACCCCCAGCATAGTGTAAAATTTTCCTACACTGTGCTGATAACTGCTTTCAGTCTAATCTCTATCCTAACAACTTTCCTAGCCTGGTAGGACCTTCAGGAAAATTAGTTCCAGCCAGTGTAGCTTGTTGGGTCATTGCGATATGCAAGCGCAGTCACCACGTCAAGGTAGCAGGTATCTATCGATCGGGCGGGATAAGTCTGTGGTAGCCTGTTGAGAATGCTTTTAGTAACACGTTGGGTCTGTGAATCAGATGTACTTGTAAAGTGTAAGTAGATTGTGAAGCTGAGTTTTACACTGATACTCTTTACTTTTCTCCGTCTCTTAGCGATGAATAAGTAATTATTCTTTGTTTCTTATTTCTTTAGTGTAATAACAACAATAGCGTCAGCTGCAAAAGCCGCAGCTACAGCTGCCGTCGCGGCTACAGCTGCAGTAACTAGTTTCGTTAATTTATTCCGTCTAACAAAGTTGAAAAATAAAGTTGATCCTAAATTACAATCAGGATCATCATTATCATCATCATCATCCAGTGGGACGCCGGCATCATCATCATCAACCTCTAGCCCCTCACTTCAGTGTATTGCTCAGTCTAGAAATCTCCGGCTGAGTACTACTACAGATCAAATGTCTTCGTCTGTTATTGTTCATGATGATGATGACGATGATGAGGATGAGGATGATGATGATGAGGAGGAGGAGGAGGAAACTGAACTCAGTGGTTATTTGTCAACTGAAGAAGCTGTAACAATGACAAGTGCTGCAGCGGCTGCGGCAGCTACAGTCGCTGCTGAACGACACCAGTTGTTTGAAAATAATTTTCTATCTGAGGTAGGCTAATTCTCGCATTTTTCTATATTTCTAACCTTCATAGTGTGTTGTTATTTTTTGTTGTTGTCATTTCATAATCACTCTGGTAGCGTAGCATTTCATCGTTACTCTCATGCTGAACTATCGTCTTTCTCAACGATTAATGATAGCTGATATGGAATTATTCTGTAACAGAATCAGGGGTAGTCAGTCTTAAATCTGGAATCAGTCCATGAAATCATCGGCTGTTGGTTTGAGCAAGCCACGGAGGCATGTGTAGACGCTATTAGTCAACGGTTGGAGGAGACTGTTGGTTGTGTGATTCAAAATCCTTCCCATTGGAGCAGATGCATCCCAGAAACATTAAGCGCTCATGTTTTCCAGGTTACTATTCTTTCCCACGCATATTTATGCTGATTACAGTTATTTGGAGTCTCTTTTCAGGTTTACCTTAGTGCGCTGTATGAAATGTGACGAATTGAACTGCTTCAATTCTGTCCAAACAATAGATCTCAATGGTAATAATAATGACGACACCAACCGTAAGGAATCCAAATCATCAGTAGTAATTCCATACAAGGAAGGAACCTCGGAAACCTTACGCAGAATTCTTAACAAGGCAGGAATAAAAGTGGCTGGCACTCAAATCCACAAACTCAATTAGAAACAAGCTTTGTCGGTTAAAGGATCCTGTAGAGCCTTTGAAACAAAACAATATAGTTTATCTAATACCCTGCCTGAGATGATTGTCAGATCAGATCAAATACATAGGTCAAACTAGTAGAACAGGAGCAGTCAGACAAACCGAGCATAAAAACCTGGCAGCGAAAACTAGACTGTTTGACCCTAATAATAAGATAAGAAATTTAGGGAATACTTCAGCTATAGCACTACATGCAGTTACACACAACCACACAATAGGATGGGATAGGATCACAGTTTTAAAATCATCACAGATCTACTAGAAATCTCATTAAATTTTTTTCCAATCTAGATTGACCACTTAATAAGCAGTCTTTTGTCGTTGTTATTGAATAAGTTGAAACACTCATGTTAATAAATACGCTTAACAATGAGTCATGACTTTTGTGTAAGAATAAATAATATTATTCTTGACTGATCAAAGGTCAATAGGGGTTGGGGTGGGGGGTGCAGGATTCTAACTTGTAAACAAGTGGTTGACAATCGAGTGTTTAACATAATAATAGTAATAATCCACTGACTGACTGGTTCCAACATAGAATTTTGCATAGATGTGCAACAGTTCGAGTTACCACACTCCCTCCATGTAGCAAGCACACAAAGCAAGAGAAGAGAGATAATAAACAGAAGTGTGAGTGAGGGAAGAGGAAGAGAGTTTTATTGGATATTATTAATCATAGAGAGTGAATGCATCTGCTCCATCAATAAGAACGATTGTGAGCCGCATCACCAATTCTTTCCAGCCTCCATTGGTTATTACTCTCCTGAGGGCCCCAACCAGTCAGTCAGGAAGTCTACACTTCCCTACATTGTCTAACTTAAACTAAATGTCATGGATTTCATTGACTGATGAACGCAATAGAGACGTGCGGCTGAAGCCCTATGTTCTAGGATTTAAAGGAAATAATAATATCGTCTTTGTTTATTATCACACATTTTTCACTCTACTGATCAAGGCAACCCTCAAGTCACCGAAGCAAAATCAGAGACATCTGCATTAGTACATCTACGATGAAACTGAATAAAAGTGGAGACATTGAGCATCAGTGATCGTCATCACCTCAGATGACAACTTTCCAAAAGATTTTACACAATCTCATAAATTCAAGTAGGGTGCCTTGATTAGTGTTATATACATTCTCAGAGCACAGCTTTGTCACGTCAGGACTCCATAGATGTCATCAACATATTTTCCATTTGTAACATAGGCTCTATTTGAGCACTGATGGTAACTGCTAGAATACCTATATTTGAGATCTTTGCTTTAAACAGCAAACAAGAGAGCTTTTTTATAGAATAGATCCGTTACTTATTTCCAGGTGAAGTTGGTTGCGGGTGTAAGCGGAGATTATGGGAAGCCATTGATAAGTATCACAATCTTTTCCTCTTTTAACAATCAGAGCTAGAAAAACACTGCTGATCGTCTCTTAAAACCAAGTTATCAGCTTAATACTAGAGCATTCAACGTCAGGGCTCTTAACCAAGTAGGATAACAGGCTTCAACAGACAGAACTTTTGCATCTGGAGACATGAATGTAAGTTGTATTCCTGAGAGATGCATTCAAAACTCAAGTGTTCTTATTCACTTAACCCCCTATCTGGCCAGCGTAGTGAATCTGCAAACTTCACCGTACAGTTTTCAAGGGATTCTTCCAGTAGTCCGTTCAAGTTTGAGTGCCAGAGTGGGAAAATTCCTGCTTGATTAGATCCCAGTAGTTAGTCGTATACGTGCTATCTAACTGAATGGATCCGTTTGAGGTGCTCTTTATGACGCGTCAAGTCTCTAATCCGTATAGTAGCACTGACTTCACATTGGAGTTGAAAATCCGGATCTTATTTTCATTTTCCTGCTGAGTGCTGTTGACCTCCAAACAGACTTGAGAGTAATGAAAGCTTGTCTTGCTTTCCCGATAGAAATAGAGAGATAGATGGATAATAGATAGAGAGGTGACTGCCATTCAAAGCTTTGTTCAATGATGATCTGTAGTGCGGCGATTCGATCAATACATGACTTGTTCCTTCTGAATCCAGCTTGTTCCGGTCGAAGTATTTCATCCAGAGCTTGTTTGGTTCTCTCCAGGATGATGCGGCTTAGTATTTTGCTTGGGATGGACAGGAGCATAATGCCACGCCAGTTCTTACATTGACTTAAGTCTCTTTTCTTTGGCAGTTTGAATAAGTAGCCTTTCTTCCAATCCTCGGGTACCCTGCCCTCCTTCCACACCTTCTCCAGTAGTGGCGTCATCATGTCCGCTGTTGCCTCTGAATCCATTTTCAATGCTTCTGCTGGGATTCCATCTGGTCCTGCTGATTTTCCAGCTTTTTGCATCTTGATTGCCTTCAGGACTTCTGATTTGGTCGGGGGGTTGATGTTCACTGGTAGCTCTGTCTCCGTTGTTGGTATTGTTGGGCGCTTTGTAGGTGGTGGTCGATTTAAGAGTCTTTTGAAGTGCTCAGCCCAGTGTTTCCTTTGCTCCACTTCTTTGGTGAGTGACTTTCCGTTGTCATCTTTCACCGGCCTAATTTGTGTCAAACCTTTGCCCGATAGGTACCTAGTTGCTTGGTAGAGTGTTGCAAGATCTCCTTTGTCTGCAGCTTAATCTGCTTCACTTGCCATGGCTTCATAATATTTTCTTTTGTCTTCCCTGGCACTCTTCTTTACTCATTTGTTCAGTGTATTGTAGCTTGCATTCAACTCCTGTTTTTGTTGCTCGTCGATGCACTGGAGAATCTTTTGTTTCACCATCCCTCTCTCCTCTACTAGTTTCCAAGTGTCCGTAGTGAGCCACGGTTTGTCTAGTCTCTTCATTCCGTCCAGAATTTCCGTGCAGTTTTGACTCCACACTGTTTTCAAGTTGTCCCAGTGCTTTTCGACACTGACCTCTTCGCTAGTGTTGATTTGTGTCTCGGCTTTTTCCCTTATGCTTGCAGTGAAGATGTCCTTTGTATCCGGGTCCTTCAGCTTTTGAGTGTTGAACTTGGCTTGTAGTCTATCTGCTTCTCTGAAAGCTTTTAGTTTGATTTGGATTGTCCCGTGTACGTGATAGTGGTCTGAGCCAACGTCTGCTCCTCTTTTTACTTTTGTGTCCAGTAGGCTGCGCCTCCACTTCCTTGAGATTGAGATGAAGTCAATTTGGTTTTTGGTTCACCCATCTGGTGACATCCATGTAGCCTTGTGGATATCTTTGTGTTTGTATACACTGCCACCAATCACTCGTTCATTGAAGGCGCAGAAGTCGGCGTAGAGTTCTCCATTTTCATTCATCTCTCTGAGAGCTTCTTTACCCATGGTGAGTTCCTTTCCTGTGTTGTCTGGTCCCAGTTTGGCGTTCATGTCTCCAGTAAGTATTTTAATGTCTCCAACTGGAGACGATACGAAGAGACTAATAGGCAGAATGTTTAAAGTGATCAACAGTGTTACTTTGGCTCTGTAAAATGAATAAATGTCGTTTTGATTAAGTTGTGCAGTATGATAATGTGACTTTTATGATGAAATACTAGACGTGAATGAATGTCAAATAATTTTCAGACAGTAAAAGCACTTCTCTGGTTAGAGGATTTCATTATGAGCTGAACTCAGTTAGAAAACTATCGGAAAACCTGTTGGTAGTACTGGACAGCTGTTTTGCTCTAGTTGCGGGTACTTCATCGGTACTCACCTCAGGATCTTCCGGTTACAAGGCGTGCTCGTAGGCTATTAAGCCAATGTCCTGGGTTCGAACTCCGGTGGGCGAGTACTAATAAAATGTCCCAAATTAGGATGAAATAGCAAGTGATAGAGCAAACCCGTACCGCAAACAAAATGAGTACTTGATAATAATTACTGTAAATCACTGGACTTAAATACCAGAACTTCATACATTTGGTTCCCTTGATAAATTTCGTCAAAGAAAGGGAGACGAAATTTGCAGTATAAAATGATATCGTCATTCTATTTCACAGGTTCTCATCAGCTGCACACCCCTACCTGAAATTACAATGGTTATATAGATGATAATATCATACTTTAATGTTTAAGTGGCAGTAGAGAAGAAATACTATAAAATTGAGGCATCCAAAATGTAAGCATTAAAATTTTTAGTTTAAGTTTTCATCATCAACTTATACGCTTTCAAAGTAGAAAAGAGGAGGGGGAGGGGTAAGACAGAAAACAGAAAAAATTAACAGGTTCACATAGCAACTCAGAAAACAAAAGCGGTTACAGTTTATAAGATTAAGATTTGTTCAGTGAGTTGAGATCGTTGAATTAGATGACTAATTACTGTAATCAAAATCAAAATTCAGTTACCAAGGGAGTGAGAGGTTAATCACACTCTCTTTCTGCATGCATAAGTCTGGTTTGAATCATTTGATTGCAATCGCTTCGGTAAATCGTAGTAAATTTGCTGTCCTTTGTCTATTTAATATTTTGAAAGACTTCAAAATCTCTACGAGATGTCAGGTATCAACAAATGTTTGGTAATTGCACTCTGAGAATATTTGCTTCCTTTCAGGCACAGGTTTCTTGGAATATGTTCAAAAAACCGGATAGAAGCTCTTCTTTTCGTCTTTGCAATGTACTTGCTCCCGCAAATGCACGTAAATTCATAAACGCAGTTGAGGGTGACATCAGCAGGATGTTTACCCAGTTTCGATTGGCTTATAGAAGAAGTGGTGTTGTATACTGTTAAGAAGGCAAGAACTAAAAAAGAATTTGGAATTTTCCAAATGTCTAAAATTAATGGCGAAAATGCACTAATGTGTTGATTGGATGGTAATATCACAAGTTGAACTGTTAAATTAGACTGATACCACCACTCTCCTTCGTGTTTTGTTCTTTTGAATCTAATGGACGAAATAAATCTATGCTGTGTCGTCTTCACCGCGCTAAACATCTTTCTTTTTCAAACCTTCCCCATTTATTGTTGGTATATCTGGTTGGGGTAAAATTGTTGGCTTGTGTCCAAATGTGATTCGCTAATTGGATTAGTATAGGGGGAATAAAACAACTCTGTTATTTATTATACCGTAATAAATTGTGTTTACTTATATACCCGTGTACTGATTCTTGCTTGTATGACATTACTTATAGATGAATCATCCAATAGACCCTTTGACTGCATCAATCGCCAATGCATCTGTCTCCCCCGGTATGCAAAGCATATCTCAACCTTCTTCAGCTTTCGAAGTATGCCATTATCCTGTTGTTTCAATTGCAAACGTCTTCCCTAAACTATCACAAGATGTTACGTCAGAGAATGCAAAATTAAATCCTGTTGGTGTACCGAATACAGTGACCCTACTTTTAGGTCGGAGTACAACACCACAAACATCAACCTATGCTATTCCTGCTTCAGTCGCTTCTCATCCTAGTGTTCCAATGCAAATTCCTGTTTCTGTTGGAACGCATTTAACGCCAATGGTTAGTTGTCCACCACATCGTGGTGGTCCAGCTGAACTGGTTGTCTCTGTAGCCTATCCAAATCAAGCTGCTGCTGCTGCTGCCGCCAGTGTTAGGCCGACAACGTCAAATCAGTATATTGCATCGAATCCTGTGAATAACAGTAATAATACACAGACGCCGCATCTGATGCCTAATAATCATCAAATACAAATAGTACATAAATTTACAGACCCAAAACAAATAACACGCAAAAAATGATCTCAAACAACATATATATATGTATAAATAATTGGTTTGCAAAACCTTCATATTTTTCTTACTTTCAATCTTCTCCTTTTTGAAGTATGCTAAAAATACTTATTTAGTATGTTTGCAATCTCTAAAAATGGTTCCAATGGTTCTCTAATTGATGTCAGCTCATGATGAAATCCTGTAATCTTTATATAAGTTGGTGAAGGCAACACGCAGGAAGCCTTGAACCCAGGTATCGTGACAGGTGGCATTCTTCAGCAAAGCGTATCTGCAACCTTGAAGGAACTGATGTCCCTTCTGAGATTCGAACCCGCGTCACCCAGTCCTGGAGTCATAGACGTTACCACTGAGCTATTCAGGCTCGCGATTGACCTCCTGTAGGACTGTAGTGGATATTTTGATTTGACACTGCAGCCGTTGCTGGAGCCTCTACATAATTTTGCTTCTTCTTGATAAGTGATTAGTGTAACTATTGTCTCATGTTGAGTCATTCTGATCAAATGTGGTAGGTAATGAGTGATTCAATCAAAGAAGATTAACTGATTAAGTTGTCTCTCCATCTAAGTATTTTACTTTTAAGTACTTTTCTTCTTCCTCAGCATATTGCGCTATCACAAATACGCAGATATGCAATGGCGACCGACGTTTTGGCACATTACTTAGACTAGATAAGTTTATCATTCTCAAACCTATCGTCTGAATAACCAACTGATCTCGATCGACTGGGTTAGCAGATCTGTTTGAATTAATAATCTTTATATGGTATTGAGTAAAATATATTGTTTTGTGTAGTCGGGTAATTCGGATCGTTGGCTAGAATGGTGAGCTGATACGTTTGAATGACATCCCAAACGTTGACTTATTTAGAACCTTATATAGGGACTTATTTGTTCTGTCATTACCTGGCACTATGGTAGTGCTATTCAGACTTTCAATTTCTTAACAGTCACGTAATCGTCATCATTCACCCAACTACTACTACTACTTTGCTTGCAAGCCACAGTGAATTTTGTGCACCGTGTCGTCACTCCATAACTGTAATTACTGATTTCCATTGAAATTTACCTGGTCTTTTCACTAATCAGCCAGAGGTCATCAAAAATCATGAAAACGTTAACAGCATAAAGAATCCTACAATACACTATAAAATATATTTAACACTCCTGGAGCACAAGTTCTTCCGGATATACAGCTGAACTACAAATACCAAAGCAGGGAATATATAATTACTAGAATCTTCGGGAAATAACTACTTACAGATAAGTCCATGAAGAAAGATGGTTACTCTATTCACAAGATTTTGCAGAATCTGACTTTATTGCCTGAAATGAATGTGCAAACTTGCCTGATAGACCATGCAGCTCTAAGCAGGTAATGATGACACTTACCTAAGTTATAAATCTCAATAATTTCAAAATCTTATGAAGGATACGTGCAACGCAGATTCCATCAATTTCGCTCAAAATGATGTCTCAAACAGAAATTGTCTACTATCTAATAACTAGTAGTATAGCTATCTCAGTCGAAAACCCTGTGTCTTTTAGACTCTGTCATAAAACAGGCGACAAATACACCAGTTATCACTATTAATGTCTGTTATTCTCCGTATTGATTTTGCATACTGGACCTACTCACAGCACTTACTTAATTTCAGTGCAGAGTATCCTCTGTTCCTGAGTGTTTGACCTTAGTGGAATCACATATTTGGTTGGCAGCTCAAAAGTCTATTCATGCTTTCATTTTCCTTAATGTTTAACATAAGAGAACACTGGGTTCACCAAACAAATACCAGCAAAGTTGTAGCTGAATGGCACTCTGCTTGCTGATGTACACTCACACAATGTTTGAGGCGAAAATATTTTCCCGCATTATAAGCTTTTCATACTGATAGTTTATCACGAGTCTGACATAGATTTTATTATTCGACTTGCAGAGTATACTGGAATTGTTGATTTGTAATGTAACTCTAAATAGAGTCAAATAACTTAATGAATTGAACAGCTTATTCCACCCCAGCTGTCGCTTGAGACTACAGTTACTTCTAAACTGACTTAAATTCCATGATCTCTAAAAAATTTACGTAACACTGAAAATTTATAATCTCACAACCTTGATTCTTACACATTATGAGAACACATGATAAGTTGTTCAAAAATATATAATGAAACATATATAAACATCTGAGTGGCGTCCAGCAATATTTTTAAAGTTAATAAAACTTTAAAAGGGCTCTGTGGACTTCTCCTGATATGAATAAACCAATCGCTTGAGTTACTTGCAGAATCCAGGATGTAGAGTCTGTCTTCAGAACATAAAGATAATAAATAACAACTATGAACCTAAAATAGTGAGGTATTCGGGCTAAATTCCGTCAAGTGCACTGTCACGGCATGTCAAAAACTAAACGGCATTTCTGTTTCAAAATGGTTGACGATCAGAGGCAAGGAAAGCGCCAACACACAGGACAAAGAGAAATGGTTGGTATAAACAAGGCTCAAAAAAAGAGGGGAAACTAATGCGGAACATGCAAAGCAAGTACAGTTTAATCACAAGGTGAAAATTACTCTAGACAAAATACAGTGTTAACATGCTCAACAAGATATAGTTAGTTCTATAAAAGCTAACAGCTGTGGAAACAAGAGAATGATATATCTAAAAGAATATAAACATACATCTTATTAGTAACAAGTCGTATAAATCTGAACACAAGGCAAAGTAGGAAGATATCGATAAAGGTTAACTAAGCAGCGAACAGCTTCAATAAATAAACAGCTTTAAATAAGTATACCATATCCAAATAAAACAGTGTACGAATTGACTAGCTGCTGGCCGACATTATTATTCACTAAAATATAACCCACAGTTTCCAACCCTATAAATCGTTTCGCATGAAACTCCAGCATCCACTGGCTATTGTGATTACAACAGCAATCATTTTTTCCAGTAAACATAATCATCAATTATCCTGATCGAATGTTAGGAAAGTGTGATGGTTCTTGCAATTTCCGATGAACACACTGTTTTCCGCGCCACTCAGCTCTAATCAAAGTTGTCTAAACATAGTTTATATTATCATATCTAAATTTGCCTTAAATTAGTCATGTTCAATACTGTTCAATATTTAACAGTATTCACAACATTTACAACTTTTCCGATTTCATGCCATCTTCCTTCCGTTCTGGGTCATCCATCCACCTAACTGTCATCTAATAGATGGAGCTAACCACTTTGTGATTTGGTGAATTCACCGCCACCCGATATTCTTTATTTTCATTAATCAGGAGCACAAGGTGTAAGTAAGAATGTTTACGGAAATTAGTAGAAAGCTGGTCACTTAAATGTGCTATTCTGATTTCACTGAATAATTTGAACTAATCTGGGTCATTTTAGCTTGGTTTTCCTTGCAAACGAATATCATTAAGATGACTACGATATTTTGAACAGTGGTATTTTTTGCTGCAGAATATGGAAGATGAGCATACACAGTTATTATTTCATGTCTGTAATTTCCGATTCTAATCAGTTTGTCATTATGGGTCCTAAGCTCCTTAAGTTTCATTATCGATCCATATTATTTTAGCGTAAATTGTATTGTGATCAAAATGAAGGTATTCAGTCTTTTTCTCACCTGTTTTGTTAGTTAGTATGCTGCGGAAGTATTGCGTAATTAGCATAACAATCAACAGTCAGACGCATGTGATCATTGCCGAATATTTTGTAAATATTAATCAAACAATCACCACTTGTAGGTATGAACTGAGACAGTTTTGAAATTCAACATGCAAATATCAAACAAAAGTTATCCGACACAAGGGAAAAATAGTTAAACAAAAATTGCATGAAGGAACTTCACTTCATTGCCGTTGTCACAAGTCTATCTTACAAGCGAAGAAACAACGATTCAATAAGTTACTTTTAAATGTTATTTCACCCACTTCATTGCGAACAGAAATAATTAAAATTCAGTCTGCAATTTAGATGTTCATCTCATTCAATGACTCAGTCAGTCTTATTAGGTCGTGAAGGTAATTGAGATGCTTTAATTTCCAGTAATCTTCACACAAAAGGTGCAGTGGGATTATTTATCTGTTAGGCAAGTAAATTCTTCAGTTACTGCTCAATCAGGCAAACAAAGACAGCATCAAACTTCTTTTATGAAAAAATACCTTCAAAGTTTTGACTTGCACCTAATCAAATAATAGTAAAGTGATTGAGTATGGTGATAACAACAACTCAATTGCGATTATTGAACGATGCCTTTTGAGGGCTTTGTTTACCGAATATTATCAAAATCACATGCAAATTTGTTCTTTTCCAGTTGAATGTATAAAATTCGTAGGAAACTCACTGACTATGATGCGACCTTGAAAATGCACCACAATAGACATTCTGATACCATTCTAATTTCCAACTACTTGCAAAACTGATAGATTTGTAATTTCAGAGCGTGACGAAACATTCATTGGAAGCAAGCGTTCACCCTAACTAAGTGTGTATAAAGACATTAGGTGAATAAACATTCTCTTACTCACTGCTTTATTTCCAAACATACGAATATTATGAAAATGCTCTATCATCGCACAAATATCCGCGTATATAAGTGCTTGTAGGCTGATCAGACAGACATTGTAATGACCTTGTCAAGTCAGTCAGACAAACACTCCTCTATTAGTGTGTAGATGATGAGGCTCCCTCCAACTGTCTCCCCCTAAGTGTCCTAGTGTCATCATACATCATGACTCCACATCTTCGAGGCGAATCCTCCTCCTCCTCTCCGTGCTCCTCATCGTTGAGTCGGACGAAAGACGGTAATGCCCGCCAGTGAGAGGAACAGTATTCCTAAACACACTGACACCGCCTGTCTCACAACCATTTATGAAGCAATGAGCAGATTGATCAGAGAATGGACGCGTCTGTGTGGAAAGTCATACTGAGTGTCTTCGAAAGCATTTATCTCCTGAAAGACTTCATATTAGACATTTTATTCAACACAGCTTTCTTTGGTA